ACCCCATAATCCTCCATCTAGGAAGCAGGTATGAAAACGAGATCACAACCAGCCTTAGCTGAAATGCTGCATAGGACTTTCAGGGCGAGAAACTTCTTTAGATGGGACATTAGCCATTTAAGTTAAGTGTAGTCTCCAGAAAGCGTGTTATGATTTTGTTTTGTATGTAAACCATTTGTTTTGAATTTTCTTACTGTCACATGACTCTTGAATCTCTGATGATAAACTTATTCTTGGTTTCACTACAGATATATCTATCAGTGCTGTGGTATTAAGCAAAGAGCTGATCCGGAGTTGCATCGTACACGGTAGTGTGTGCACAGTTCCCTTGGGGACAGCAGACCTGGTATTTCTGTGAGTGTTCAGTGGATATGGGGCTGATCACTACAGGGGAACACTTCAAAGGGACTCAGGGACTTGGGTGCACCTACTGCTAACCTGCAAGGCAAAGTAAGGGTAGGCATTGTCCAGAGGAAAGTGCTTGGGTGGCTAACAGGCTCATGGTGTCCTGGACCCGATTCCCAGTCCAAGCAGGACTCCCTCATGCCAAAGACAGGGGGAAACATGGTGAGTCACAATCCTGGGTACCCTGACAACAAAATAAAATTCTACATAGATAAATGTAAGTTGCTACACTTAGGGAAGAAAAACCCAATGCACAAATACAGAATGGGAGATAACTGGCTTGGCAGCAGCACTGCTGAGAAAGATCTGGGAGTTGCAGTGCATCACAAGCTCAATATGAGCCAGCAACATGATGCTGTTGCAAAAAAAGCTAACACAATTTTGGGTTGCATTAACAGAGACATGGTATGCAAGACACGGGAGGTGATAGTACCATCTATTCGGTTCTGGTTAGGCCTCAGCTGGAGTTCTGGGTCCAATTTTGGCACCAATGTATAGAAAGGACGTAGAGAAACTGGAAAGGATCAAGAGGCAAGCAACAAAGATGATCAAAGGGATGGAAAGCAAACCATATGAGCAAAGGCTGAAGGAACTGGGTATGTTTAGTTTAGAAAAGAGATTAAGGAGGGGACATGATAGTGGTCTTCATATACTTGAAAGGTTGCCATAAAAAAAGATGGAGAAAAGTTGTCCTCTGTGGCAAGAGAGAACAAGAGGCAATGGGTTCAAACTATAACATAGCAGATTTAGATTAAATCTCAGGAGAAAACTTCCTAACTGTAAGAACAGTAGGACCATGGAACAGACTGCCTAGGGAGGTTGTGGAAGCTCCTTCACCGGAAGCTTTCAAAAGGAGGCTGGATAGCTATCGGTCTTGGATGGTTTAAACCAGGGGTCGGCAACCTTTCAGAAGTGGTGTGCCGAGTCTTCATTTATTCACTCTAATTTAAGGTTTTGCGAGCCAGTAATACATTTTAACGTTTTTAGAAGGTCTCTTACTATAAGTCTATAATATATAACTAAACTATTGTTGTATGTAAAGTAAATAAGGTTTTTAAAATGTTTAAGAAGCTTCATTTAAAATTAAATTAAAATGCAGAGCCCCCCGGACCGGTGGCCAGGATCCGGGAGTGTGAGTGTCACTGAAAATCAGCTCGTGTGCTGCCTTTGGCAAGTGTACCATGGGTTGTCCACCCCTGGTTTAGACACAACAAATCCTGCATCTTGGCGGCGGGGGAGGGGGGGGGGGTGTTAAATTAGGACAGGGTTACACAGAAGTGCATTCACCCCTATGAAGGATAGGTCCATGAATGGCTATTAACAAGATGCAACCTCATTCTCTGGGTGTCTGAGTGCCAGAAGATGGGAGTGGATGACAGGGGATGGATCACTCAATGACTGCCTGTTCTGTTCATTCCCTCTGATACACCAGGCACTGGCCACTGTCAGAAGACAGGATACTTGGCTAGATGGACCATTGGTCTGACCCAGTATTGCTGTTCCTATATTCTTATGCTGATTGAGAACCTGATCCAAATTCCCCATTGACTTCAATGGACAATGGCATCTGCATGTCTAGCCTCCATATGGCTCATTTATTATAAACTAGTTTCATAAACAAATATTATTCATAATTTAGTTGTGGGATGTTTTGTGACATATATATCCCCTTCCCCCACCCCCCCGCATTTCACATTTCCTCCCCCAATGAATCGATGATCACTCAATTTGAGGGAACCAATGTGTACAGACAACAGAATTACATGATATTAAAGTAGATCCAAATGGAACAGATATGGGTTTTATACAATACTTTTCATATACTGCATTTTACAAAGCAATGAGTTAAATACTGTTAGCATAATGACTATGTAGATAAAACATTATTTGACACTACAGCCGGTTTTTGTAGAGACACAGAATAAAAGACTAAACAAACACCTTTATCCTCCTACCATCTAACAATAAAAAGGTACATCAGGACATCCTTAAATGTATGACATACATTTTAAATAGCATTAGCATCCCCTGTCCAGATTATTAGGCAGATGAATAATTAAGCCTTTTCTCTATTGCATAAACAGATATTTCCCAAGACACCTTTGTCATAAATATAAAGGGAAGGGTAAACCCCTTTGAAATCCCTCCTGGCCAGGGGAAAGCTCCTCTCACCTGTAAAGGGTTAAGAAGCTAAAGGTAACCTCGCTGGCACCTGACCAAAATGACCAATGAGGAGACAAGATACTTTCAAAAGCTAGGAGGAGGGAGAGGAACAAAGGGTCTGTGTCTGTCTGTGTGCTGCTTCTTGCCAGGGACAGAACAGGAATGGAGTCTTAGAACTTTTAGTAAGTAATCTAGCTAGGTATGTGTTAGATTATGATTTCTTTAAATGGCTGAGAAAAGAATTGTGCTGAATAGAATAACTATTTCTGTCTGTGTATCTTTTGTGTAACTTAAGGTTTTGCCTAGAGGGGTTCTCTATGTTTTTGAATCTAATTACCCTGTAAGATATCTACCATCCTGATTTTACAGGGGGGATTTCTTCATTTCTATTTACTTCTATTTTTATTAAAAGTCTTCTTGTAAGAAACTGAATGCTTTTTCATTGTTCTCAGATCCAAGGGTTTGGGTCTGTGGTCATCTATGCAAATTGGTGAGGCTTTTTATCCAACATTTCCCAGGAAAGGGGGGGTGCAAGTGTTGGGAGGATTGTTCATTGTTCTTAAGATCCAAGGGTCTGGGTCTGTAGTCACCTAGGCAAATTGGTGAGGCTTTTTACCAAACCTTGTCCAGGAAGTGGGGTGCAAGGTTTTGGGAAGTATTTTGGGGGGAAGGACGCGTCCAAACAGCTCTTCCCCAGTAACCAGTATTAGTTTGGTGGTGGTAGCGGCCATTCCAAGGATAACGGGTGTAATATTTTGTACCTTGGGGAAGTTTTGACCTAAGCTGGTAAAGATAAGCTTAGGAGGTTTTTCATGCAGGTCCCCACATCTGTACCCTAGAGTTCAGAGTGGGGGAGGAACCTTGACAACCTTCATGGGCATATTCTGCATTTTTGTTTTAAACATAAAGTAGGAACAGAACACAAATGTGCTGTGACTGGCCAAGGGTCAGGACAAGCAGTAACTAGGAAGACAAGGTATTTCTGCTCCTTATTAAACTTTGATTTGTTGAGTGTGGTCATGCAAGATCATAGGAAACGAAGCATCTGCTGTGGGTTCTTTCTAGGCTGCAGATTGTGCTTGAAACGTTGGATGCAATGCCAAGTGAAGTGGTGTGAAGCTGCAGCCAGGAGCGCTGTCATAAAACACTACAACCCATTTACTAATACAGCCCCTGTGTAGCAGTAGTCTGAGGTAATATTCTTTGAAGTGCTGACATACTGGCGTATTGAGTATATGAGCAGAACAGGAAGTGCACCTTATCCTGTGTGCCTGGTCAACAGCACTAAAAAGGTGAATAGCAGCAATGAAGTGGCGCAAAGATCATTCAGGAATTGGGAAAAAAGAAGGACAAAACTAAAAATACCAGTTTCTGGAAGGGGAGGGGGAAATATATAGTGGAGAGAAAGGAAATCCAAATGGGGACATAATTTGATAACCTACACACTTCTAGAAGAGGACCAATCTTTTAGACCCAGGAGTGTGAAATGGCCTGGAGAGTCATGTTCTAGAATCAACAGTGCATAGGGGCAGGTTCTCTTCCTTGTGCTGCTTCGGCAGCACAAAGGCACTAGGAAACTGTCCACAGCATCTCTGCTGGAGATTTCCCCACTGGGGGTGGGGGGGGGGAAGTCCCCAAAAGATGCAGATACAGCAAGGCCAGTTCTTACAGCACCTCATCTCTCAGCGTGGGGGGATGGAGGGGAGACAAGTTACACTGTCAGGAGGAGCCTCCCCATCCTCTCTTGCAGACAACTTGTAACAAGCTCTTAAACCTGGGAAAATTAGGAAAGTAATAGTACACTTTCCTCATCATGCCCCTTTTCTGATTCCACTGTGGAAAGCTTCATGACAATTGACAATTTAAAAGACAATGGAGCTTGATGAAATTATGTTAAAGTATCACTGAATTTTATACTCCTAAAAAGAGAAAAAAAATACATACAAGATTCTCCAGACCACTCTGCCAATGCCTGTCAGCCGTGACCTGTAATACACTAAATATTCTAGCACTGTACATGTTGGGGTAGTTGGGTACATGGATAGAAGAAGCAGTCAAGTTCATTTTGACTGAAGAACCAACCAGGTGTCCCTACTACCCCAACACCCTTTTTTCATTTTCATTGTCAGAGTTCAGGCTAAACAATCACTTCCAGTGCCAAAAGTAGCCCATTTTGCCTGTAGCCCAGTAAATGTAATGTCTGAAAAGAGTGGAAAATCCTATTATTAACACAGTAGGAAACACCAATGTCTACATTCTGTACACTGGGGCAAGAACTAAGTGAGAAAGAAAAGTTGAAGAGCAACAATTAACCCTCTCACTGAGCAGCTTGTAATGTTTTATTCCTTAACTGTGAATTATACACTTTTTAAGGCAAAGAAGCATTTATTTCAGCAATAATACAGTGGGTTAAATTACTGATTCTAACATACCTTTCCTGAATCAACCAGTTTTGCTATTTCATCCAAAGATTGGCCACTCGGTGTGAAAAATGCCCATCTATAATGGATTCCTTTACAGAGGTGCTGAAATGGACAGATCACACAAAGAGTTACAAAGAAACTCAAAATATGAACCGCATATTTAAACAAGAGAGTCAGAGCCTAACAAGGGATCTTAAGAAAAATGTGGGAAATATTTTCTGGTGTCTAAATGTTACAGAAGTACATGGACTAGATGTACGCACATGGATGCTGCGTCGTCACAAAAAGATCAGAGTGAAATCCAGTGTCCAACTGCATGAGTTGGCTGGTTGTGATAAAAGCCTTATCTTCACAGCCAGAAAAGCAAGACTGCACAGTTTACATCTTGTATAAGAAACAGTCACATGTTTACACACACACACTGAATCCTGAATTTTGCTGGGGAGTCAGAGCCTTTCACCTCTATATAATCAGTTCAAATCCAGCCCAGGGTGGTGATGGCAGAAAATCATTACTGCCTGATAACTGGATAGTGGCCCATTTGAAGTGGGTTGGTTGTCTCAGTCCAGCTCTCAGCTGACAGGCATACTCGGTGGCAGTATCAGTGGCTAAGAACCGAGCAGACCTAGAAAGAATGAGCTATTTGTACCCTCTCTCACTCATAGAGGCAGGGTTGAGGCACACTAGGGGAGCAATGTGAAAAAAGCTAACGTTGCTGCTATGCATCACACTCCTTGAAGAGCCAGCCACCTTCCATCTTTGAAGCTGTCAATCCGTCATTCACTACTGTTAAATTATTTTTATTATTATATATTATAGTAAATTATACATTAAAATACATAAATTATGTTAAATATACATAAATAGTCAACTATATTATATACACACACACAAATATAGGCAGCCCTACAAGGTCAACCTGGGCTCTGACAGGAAAGTCAGCTTTTTCTAGCTCAACTTCACTGCCAGTAATATAGATTCTACAGGCCAGCTTTTACTCTTGGATACATCATGCAGAGACAGAACTAAAGAATCTGCTGAAAAAGAAGGTGTCATTTTTACAAGGTAGCTTTTCAGAAGATAGCTGCGTTTTAAAGCGGACACTGACAAACAGATAGGGGCCTACCCCTACCAATTTTGCTAGGAGAAAGAGGTGAATCAAAAAGGGGATTTTGATTAAAATTTCAGGAAGATCTCACATTCAACCATACAAGTCAGGAGTAACTCCAATGACTGAAATCTGGTTTGAGAACAGAATCAGGGCCTTGATTTTTCAAATACAATTGAAACGTGATACATGACACAAAATGCCTCTCATGTAAACGTGCAGAAAGCTGCATTGAGCAATATGGGTACAGCCTTCTTTCCAGGCTCGTACTTCACTTCATCATGAACAGGAGGCCTCCCTTTTAAAGGGTCAGTATTAGACTTGGGGTCTCATTCAAATATGCAACCACAACAACTGTAGAAAAAGCACTCCTTTGGAGAGCAAGAATTGCACGTTCAGGGAAAAAACAAGCCTTTAAAAAAATAAAAAGTTCACCTGTTTCCGACAGAAAGAAATTTAAAAAGTGAAGACAGAAAAATTAGGGTAACAATATCACCACTCAGAAACACAAGTCGGAAGAGAGAAGAAAGGAAAAAGGAAAATAAAAAGTGTTTCCTAGCTGTCCTGTGGGAATTCTCTCCATTAGGGATGAAGACAGCGCATCACTGGAGCAAACAAACAATGTGTTGCGTGAAATCCTGACCCCAATGAAGTCAAAAGCAAAACTCCCATTGACTTCAATGGGGCCAGGATTTCATCTGTTGCATTTACTGTGGACATATCAACAGGACTTACTATGAAAAAAGTAGAATGAAAAACCTTAACTCAGAGGCACCCAAAACACTCCCACATCAGCCAGACAGATATCGGTTCTCACTCAACTATCACCAACCCCATATGTGGAGGTGTGGCAAAGTACCTTGTTCTCCTCAGCAGACTCAGTCCTTTTTAGCCTTGGAGACACCGGCTTGGGCAAGGCAAATCCTTACAGGTAGCACAGGGTCCGGTTATTCCTTTCCCTGATCAGTCCCTTGTGTTTGCTTTCCTTCCCTTCTGGGGAAGGAGTGCAGCCTCCCTTCCTGGAAGGGTTCGGTGTCTTGCTGCCATTAGCCTACTGGCAGCTTCCCTGCTTCTCTCACCCCCCGCCCCCGCACTTCCACGCCAGGGAGGGTTTAAAAAGGTCTGAACCTAATTAGCTCCCTGGCAACCCCTTTTCCATCTGAAATTTATTTCCCCTTGGTTCTCCTCAGTGGACAGGGAGAGGCCTTTTAATCCCTGGGACTAATTACTACCCCTCCCTTGTTTGTACTTGTTTGTCCTGGGTTTACCACAGAAGGAAAGGGAAAAAAATAGTTGGAAGAGTATAAGCATGCCTAACTAAGCACACAGGAATGAAGCAAAAAAAACCCAAAACATATGTACCAGGAAACTGACTGCATCCAAACTCCTTATTACATGGAGTTAAAGCATCTATTTTGTTACTGTACCTTTACAGCTTTGGTTCCAATCGTGACTCCTGTTTGTAGCATGCCATCAGCTACTCCAAGCCTGTCCACATTCAGTAGAAAGGGTGTTACCAAAGTAACATATGTGGCTCCTGACCATTTCTTGAGGAAATCTGGAGACCATTTTTCAGTGGGTCCACCAACATTATCTAGGATGAAATCAAACCTGGAACAGGGGGAAAGTGTGTTTGAAAAGCACGGTGTTGCACTGAAAAAATACAGAAACAGGGCAACAGTCTTGTAATTAACTTGTTTATTTCAGGGAAAAGGTGATTCTAAGCAGAGATTGACTATAGCTGAAATGTCCATTTGCAGATGCAAGGCATTGAAACAATCTGTGCACAGGAACGTAGCATGGAAGACCCAGACTTTCAACTAAATCCTAGTTCACTATAACTCAGCCCCACTGTACACAGAGATTGTACCTATATATTACTGGTCATTCACTACAGACAGGACACAACCATCACACGCTGATCTCAGGGCCAACTAACAATCTCACTGTAGCTAAACTGAATACCACCCTAATTGTTTAGAGTCGCTATTACTGTTACATTGGCCTACACATGCAGCAGCATCTAGGGTATCTGAAAGGCAAGTTGTGTCCACACTCACTATGGTGTGCAGCTACATGTAGCCCTGAAAGGCTCTGACAGCAGGGAAAGGATCCAGCAGCTCCCCTCTGCTGGGGCCTTTCACTGCAGTGAGGAAAAGGCTCTGTTAGGGGAGAGGCAGAGGAGCTGCTGGAGTGCTTCACTGCGGCGGGAAAAGCCTCCCACGATGGGGAGACAGCAGGACACTACAGTGCAAAAAATAGAAGCGTAGACAGGAGAAGCAATGCTTGTGCATGTAGGGTTCAGACATGTAGGACACTCTACTCACCTAAGCAGTGTCTCACCATCTACACTGCTATTTATACCCGTGCTAGCTGGGCATACTGTGTCTGTACTTTACATACTGCTGCAACTGTAGACCCACCCATATTCTAGAGCTTTGCATTCTTCTCCCAAGTAATATTTGCTTGAAAGTTTGAAGTTCAAACTATTTAGATTCAAATATAATTATCACAATTTATATTTGAATAAGTCTTTAAGAAAAAACAAGCAAAAAATCCTTAAGGTGAGAATTCCTATCAAACTACTAATTCCAAGGAAAACTCTGAATGAAACATTTTAAACATAAATGTATTTGTCTTGAAACATTTGTTATTTATCTGAGACAGCTGGACTAGACTTCCAGAGAAACTCAGTCTATTCCCAGCTCTGCCGCACACTTGCTATCAGACTTTAGTCATGTAACTGCTCCATGCCTCAGTTTCCCTTTTTGTAAAATGAGCTATTAGTGCTTACTTACCGCACACAAACTTGTAAAGCTTAATTCATTGTTTCCAATGTTGTTCCAGCTGTGCTGGTCTCAAGATATTACAGACACAAAGTGGATGAGGTAATATCTTTTATTGGAGCAACTTTGGTTGGTGAGAGAGACAAGCTTTCAAGCTTAGAGCTCTTCTTCAGGCCTGCTACAGCAACACTGCAAACATTACCGAATTAAGCTTTGCAAATCCTGTTTGAGATATGCCAACACCAAAGGTTCATTTTACAGAAAGGGAAATTGAGGCATGAAGCAGTTAAGTCTGAAGCAGAGCTCTGTATAGCTTGAAAGCTTGTCTCTTTCACCAACAGATGTTGGTCCAGTGAAAGATATTACCTCATCCACCTTGTCTTTCATTAATGTTTGTAAGCGTTTTGAGATCCTTGGAGGGAAGCTGATATAGTTGTGGAAATCATTATCATCATTCAAATGTGTTTAAATGAGTGAGCTCTTCCCCATTGACTTAATCTTATTTTTTCTGACTTAATACTGCAGAGCAGTCTGTATTTATGATATTCACTTCACAGGCCACATCCAAAGGGGGAAGGGCAGGGAGCTTGCTTTAGAAAGTAAGGCTTTGCAAACAGGAAGGCTCAAAACCCCAGAGGCAGGGAGTCTGCCAGACTAATTTAGGATTCCAGCAACACAAAAGGTATATGCAAGGGAGTCTGCTTGCTGCCTATGTCCCTTCAGCACTATATACATATTTAACTGCATTAGTACATACAGTGGTAACATTTTCAGTTGCTCTGCTACATCTCCAGATTTGTAATCAATCACATCATCTGCTCCGAGCTTTTTCACCAGGCTACTGGCATCCTGAGAACAAACTGCTGTCACATGACCACCCCAAGCTTTCATTAACTATAAAAAAAACAACATAAAAAATTCTAAGGTTTAAAAATTATTTAAACAGTGAAAATACCTGAGAAGACCAACATCTCATTATCAACAGAATCCAAATAAACATCTGCAATACAGAGGGGGTACAGCAGGTGCATTGTGTTACTGTGTAGGGCAACTCACTAACACACAACTCCATAAATGGTGTTTAGGATATGCAGTTATAATAATTTTCTACTCTGATGCCTCTTACAGATCTTAGATACCAGGCTACCTTAAGTAAAAGGCTTTGTGCCTTTCAAAGTTGGCCATTTGGACAGTTAATTCTTCAGATGCTGCTGACTACCTAAGCATGCACATGGCTGCTAATATACAAAGTGCAAACCTTCCATCAAGGTAGATAAAAATAAATGATTTTTTTTTAATTTTGAGTCAGATTTTTTATTTCTTATTTAAATTATAATACATTTTTATTTTTAAAAATAAACTTATTTAAAATAAAATCTTAATTTAATACAAAATATGTTAAGTTGTAAAATTATGATCTCTTAAAACATTTAAATAAAAAACAAATATGCCGAATCCCTAAGCCTCTATCAAAAACTTTGAGTTAAAGGCTCTTTTTCTAAATAAAGAAAGCATCAGGGGAAAAAACATCTAAATTTTGAGCTCAAGCTTTGTAAATATATCAGAAAAGGTCATGAACACTATTCAAGACTTGTTTCATTAATAAAAATAAGATTTATATGCTATTTTGTGTGTTTAATTAAATTCCAATGACCATCCTAATGCAGCTTGTCACAAGTCACGAGCAAAAAGATAATTATCTAGTAAATAAGCAAGATATCATTCATCATTTTCTAACATACTAAGAATGTACCATTAATAAGAATCTGAAAGTATTAAGCTATATAATCAATATATATAAATATGCATAAATAGATATATATATAGTTATAGTGTACCCTCCTAGGTATAAAAAAAGATGTACCAAATCTAGTGTAAAGACTATTTGGTTGTAAATCAGCTCACTAGAAACAATAATCTGGCTATGTGGAAATTTCAAAGAGCAAAAATTTATAGGGGAAGATGGCGGGTTAGTTTATAGTCTGCAGAGCTGCTCAGACAGAAAGGAATTTTGCTAATAATTTAATCTACCCTCTGTTGTATACCTTATTCTCACTCTTCACTACAATATCTTCTTTGATATTTGCCAATCATAAACTTAATGCAGGAATGAATTATTCTACATGATGACAGGTAGACATCATAACTACTCAGTGGCAGGCTCAACCTTTCTTACTGAACTCATTTAGCAACTTGCTTTATCAAGGTTTAGGCAGATAGCGTACCACTGAAAACTCTCCCATGCTCTTCTAAAGGCTATTACATTTACAACTTTGAAATCTGAAAAAAACACTTTGTGGTGCAATCATCTAAAATGTGTTTGTTTATACTCTGAAGACAAAGATACTTGAGTATAATGGGACACTGCTTTCAATCAAAAGCCCCAAATTTAATGCAAATGTACTCAGAACAAGTTTCAAGATGAATAGCTCATTAAAAAACATCTCCTCTCCCCAAAGTTTAGAACTGTTGAGATTAAAAACGGGAGGAAGGGGAATTGCATTCTAAGCCACTACACTATATTTGATGCACATAAAAATATTAACACATTAAGAAGAATTTATATCAGAAAACAAAAAACAGTTTGCTGAAGTCATTATCAATTTATACCAGTTTATTCCATTTGGGGGTGAGAGAGGCAGAAAATCTAATCAAAACATATAACAGATTTCAAGTCACATGGAAATTGGAGTCTCCTTCCCAGTAACTAAAGCCTTGAAGTGTAATCGTTCACTTCCTACACCCATAACCTCTCTGCCCCTAAAACCGACTCCTTTCTAACTTAGACTAAGATAATAAAGTAGATGGAAATGATAAATCTCAAACTATTTTCATATTCTCTTACCTTTGGGCTTGCACTGAGATCATTCAGTAGCTTGCTGATTCATAGAATCATAGAATATCAGGGTTGGAAGGGACTTCAAGAGGTCATCTAGTCCAACCCCCTGCTCAAAGCAGGACCAATCCCCCATAGTTGCCCCAGATCCCTAAATGGCCCCCTCAAGGATTGAACTCCCAACCCTCGATTTAGCAGGCCAATGCTCAAACCACTGAGCTATCCCTCCCACCCGATTCACCACCATCAGCCCCCACCTCATTTCCCTAAACCTTGATCATACAGTATTTTTATAAAGGCCTCATACTGGGCTTATTGTAATACATCACCTGGATAGCAAAGGTACCAACTCCACCTGAAGCGCCGAAAATTAATATTCTGTAAAACAAGAGCAATTCCAATTGATACAACCTAACTGCATAGCAAGACAATTCCACTATGTAAGAATCCACGTGAATTAAACTAATGAAATACTCAACATACACAAAGATTCCTTGGTGATCCTATTTACATGAGGGGGAGGATTACAACAGGGAGATGAACATGAATGTAGAAGAGAAGCGGCAGCTAGGACAAAAGTCTGATGAATACAGCATTGCAGCAATCATAACAAATACCTAGGGTTATATTTTAGAGAAGGTGCCAACATGTCAGCTTTTAAAAAAGTGCAAAATTTTAATAACACCCTACTTGAATGTCTCTTACAGATTTCAGATACCAGGCTATGTGAAACTAACAGCTCTGTTTCTCTTTCAAAATTGGTCCTTTGGACAGTTAACCTTTCAGATGACTAAAAATGTGAGGCAACACTGTCGACTTACACTTCTGTGCCAATAACACTATCTTCCAGTACAGCAAGGCAGCTCTTTGCCTCGTTCATATGAGTTTTCCACTAATCCAGCAGTGGAACCATAGGCCAATAATATTTTCATCAAGAGACAACTTAAAGGAAGCACTATTTCCACACTTTCTCCCCAAAAGAACTGAATAAGGTTAGCACTTCCTAAGTTTGGACCCATACTTTATGATCAAATTTTCATTGGTTTTGTGTTGTGACATTTCCTTTACAGAAAAATCAATTGTCAATGTAAACCTAAGAGAAAATATTTGTTTAAAGTGGTGGTATTTACAGTATTGGGACATTTTAGAACTCATGGAATGTAGATCACATTATTAAACTTTATAGCTGATTAACAGAGAAAAAAAAACGTGTAACGAAGTAGACTAGGCAAAAATAATTTTGAGGCTGTACTAAACCAAAATACATTTCTTTTCTAGAAATGCTACCGTTAAGGTGAGCAGAACTCCGCTAGTTTTCATTTATAATTGGAAGAGATTACAGAATAGCAAACACTGAGAATGAGCAAATACGATAAAGATCAGAGCTACTGCATCATAAAACTTGTTTTTCATTTATTTTGACAAGTGTACGTTCATTACACCTGTGTGTAATAAATACCTCATAGTATATTATTAAAGACATTGTAGAATATTTTGTTAAAATATCTAGTTTTAATGATATGAGTCCTCAGTACAGCACTCAGCACTCTAATTGTGGTGTTTTATAAACTTCATCTAGATACTTTCTATTAAATCTTTAATACACAGACTTATAAGAAAGTGTTACCTGAAGCCTATAATTGGAATTGTAAATTTTGAACCATCTGCTGACTTCAGTGCAGGAATATTGAAGTCAGAATTTCAGTGACTATTTTGTTCAAAAGACTGAAGTTCAGATATCACCACGGGGGTTTCATTGAAGTTTCAGTACCTTCAAGCAAAGGATGTTTCTGATTTAAACCTTCTCACTATGCTGGGGATGAAGGAAATTGCTTTTGCAATTCAAGATCGTAGTATGCTGTCCGGATGTTGGATTCAACATTTTGGTTTAAAAAACAGGCACATACTTTTGCCATCAAACACCTTGCCAATTTTCTTTCTAACTTAAAATTTGCTATTTTCTCACTGATTTTTTGAAGAAAGCTACAGCTAAAGAGTTGAAAATTCATCTTTTGAAGAGTGACTGAAGTAAAATATTTCAGTGGAAGTTTGGAACAGCTTTGGTGAGGGTTATCTTTTTATTCTAAAAGCCTCCAGGACACATGGGTCGTCTTTGTACATGGTACAAGAGTTCCATAGCTGAAGCAAAGAGCACTAAGTACATTTCCAGAGACAAAACAAGTGGTCAAAAAACTTTTTCATTTCCCCCAACCCAGGGGCTGACCACAGCCTGTTGTTTGCAACCAAGATGTTATACACTAGAAACTATTTACAAAGCAATCTATAAGTGCATATGAGTCATTAGTAGCAGTAACAGAACATTTAAATAGTGACTGAGAATGTGAAAGTAAAACTCACTAGTTGTTTTTTCATTGTTTAAGCTGCAGCAAATGCAAAAAGTAAAGAAACAGTATAAATAAAGGAGTTTTTTTTTTAAAGAGCTTTCACTTTTAGGTAATGTTTGTAACCTAGGTAGGGCATTTTTAATTTTTTTTAACCAAAGGCACCTCATTAAATGATATTTATCCCATTTACATGCAACAAATTAACCAAAATGAAAAATTACCTAAAATATTTAAAAAATAAAGAGGGGGATAAGTGTAAAGTTCTACTGTTTACTACAGGGTAATACCAATAGTTTCAAGAGCAGAAGCAATTTCAAAGAATAATTTATTTTCTCAAAATATAGTAAACATTTGCCTGATATTTTCATAATGAAATTTACCATGGCACACAATAGCCAGTTACTTCAGTATCTTCCAAAGATAGAAGAAAGCTTTTTATTAAATCCAATGTCCTTTGCAATATATTTTATTAAAACATAATACACCACGATAACAGGAGGTCAGAAAGTACAAGGTCAAGATCTTGCAAACATTTATGCACATTCTTAATTCTATTCATGTGAGTAGTCCCATTGATTTTAATGAACTACTCACATAAGCAGAGTTAAGAACATGTGTAAGTGTTTATAAGATCAACTGGATTTTCCTTCTGTTCAGAAGGAAGTGAGATGAGAAGTCCTCTGACCCCACCAAAACAATTGAGGGTCTCATTCTACAAGCTTTACTTAAGCAAATAGCCACACTGAAATTAATAGGACTATTTGTCAGAATAAAGGTTAGCAGTTCAGGCCCTGAATTAAAAAAGTAAACTTTCAGCCATATAGGTCACCTCTGTATCTTTACCATACTAATGCAAATTCAAAGGCTTTACCATTTTGTGTATATAGGAATGACTCTGCACGATCATTTTTTATTTTACCTATCTTAATAATTTAAATTCAGTAAGCTCTCTATACAAAAATTAAACACACAAAACGTAATGAAAACATATTAGCAGGAGGACCAGTTACCTACCGTTTCCCACTGCAATTATCTTGGTTCAGTCCCCCAATTTGGTTTATTGCAGACCATGCTGTTAGACCCACATATGGTAAGGAGGCAGCTTCCATGTGACTGAGACACTTGGGCTTGTGAGAGATCTAAATAGAAGATCAGCCATGTCTAAATCACAATGAATAGTATATTTGTGGACTACCAGGGTTGATAAAAATAAAGTTTTTAATATGGATTTCAATAAAAAAAATTCAAATTTGATTTACATTAAATACATTTTTCATTTAAAAATTAAACTTTTTCTATAATCTATTAAAATTACTTACATTAAATAAAAAAAAATTAAGCAGTAAATTTTTACTGCAAAACTTTTAAAAAGTCATACTTCTGAACTAGAGGAAGTCACTAGCTCAGAACCTGGAACTAGAGCAGGGGTTCTCAAACTTTATTGCACCATGACCCCCTTCCGACAAAAAAAAAAATTACTACACGACCCCAGAAGGGGGGACCAAAGCCTAAGCCCCACCACCCCATGTGTGGGGGCCAAAACCAAAGCCCAAGGGCTTCAGCACCAAGTTGGGGCCTGTAACCTGAGCCCCACCACCCAGGTCTGACACTCTCAGGCTTCAGCTTTGTCCCCGGGCAGTGGGGCTTGGGTTTTGGCTTTGGCCCCGGCCCTGGACCCCAGCAAGTCTAACTCCAGCCCTGGTAACCCCATTAAAACGGAGTCACAACCCACTTTGGGGTCCCAACCCACAGTTTGAGAACCGCAGAACTAGAGTTTGCTGAGCTGCTAACCCAGCTTTTGACAGCAAGAGTATTGACGGAAGGTGCTGAGAGAATATTTTCTTAATTTCAGTTTACTGAACTAGTTCAGTACAATGGCTAGTTCATTCAAAGTTAAGAAAACAGCTGTGAGCTGAAAAAAGTGGGAAAGCTTGTTTTCCTCTTCCAATCTATGAAGAAAAGCTAAGTATGAGAGGATGAGATCTTCTAGTTCTAGAATCTTGAAGGACACGGTGACCAGAAACAATCCATTCAATTCACTAATGACTTTAATAAATCAGTTTATTAAAACATGTTCTGCATTTGAAATTAACTTTTTTCTTAGGTATTCAGCATATATAAGGTAGTTTTAATTAACTACTAAAAAAATTAATGCTGATTTTGTGCATTTTTAACTAGATTCTAGTTTCCATGCAAATAGATCTTGACACAAATCATAAGTAAAAGGTTAATCATGTACTAAATAAGAAATGTATCATTCACATTTGCTAAAATAAATAAAATGTAACAAATTTAGAATCTGAATAAAATTTAAACAAATATATAGCTTAACATACATTTGTATAGGTTATTCTTCTAATGCATAACAAAAAATTGTACCACTGTGACACTGCACCTCATATTTTCCACAGAGATATTCTGATATGATTATGGCATAATTATGATGTATTTTATGCAAGAAAAGCCATGTGAGATATCACTGGAAAGGTTATGATTTAATGACTAAAACTATCCTATTTGTTTGCATGGATCACTTTTGCATCTGAACTTAGGAATATTGACTATGTATCTGTATTACAAATGTGTTTACACCTGGGGAACGCCCACTAGACAAGATGCTTTCATTCTGAAAGCTGGGTGAGGAAGGGCCATTAGAGAAAACAACAGGCCTTAGAAGAAGCTTATCTCCCACCTGGGGGCCTTCCTGAGGACATTGCAGACAGCCTTCGAGTCAAGACTGCTGTGACACTACTGGGACATGTGACCAGGTCACCTGGTGCTGTATTCCATCTTGGGATATGAGTATTTTTCCACTGATGGGCATGGGAATCAAGCTTTAAAACAAAGGGTTCCTGCCATATGCAAAAGTTATATAAGGCAGGGGAGTGACATCATCTTGGTTTTTCACTGACTTCCCACATAAAGACTCCTGGAAACACCTGAGGAACAAAGACTGAACTGGGGGAAGTGCTAGACCCAGGGATTTTTAGCTTGTGACTGGAACACTTGGAGATTCCAAGCTGTAAAAAAGTGAAGATTGCCCCTTAAGAATCTGCAGCCTGCTTGTATCATCACTTAGGGTGAGGATCGGCTATTCACATCCAATCTCTTTGGCATATTAAGCTTAGTTTGCATTTTTGTTTATTTGCTAGGTAACCTGCTTTGATCTGTTTGCTATCACTTAAAATCTATCTTTTGTAGTTAATAAACTTGTTTTTGCTTTATCTAAAACCAGTGTGTGGGAGTCATAACTCGGGACAGAAAGCTTTTGTATATTCCTCTCCACATGTGGGGGGGAGGGCGAATTTAATGAGCTTACACTGTACAATTTTCTGTGCAGTGCAAGACAGTATAATTTTGGGTTTACATTCCACAGAGGGTGCGTGCCTGAGTAGCTGGGAAGTTCCCTAGCTGCAGCCTTCCCAGGCAAGGCTGATCACAGCATCTGCATGTACCTGCAGCTGGGTGTGTTCCTACCTGTACATGTGCTGGTGAAAGTACAGGCTGGAGCCTGGAGAGAGCTTCTCACAGCAATTCTGTGTAAAAGGAGCCCAGGCTAGTGGATTAGGGGGACTCAGTGGTACCCCAGCTCCAGGTGGCACCCCGGAAAGAACCCGTCACAACCACATTTCGTGTAAAGGCTATGTTTAGTTGTAAATCCACAAATTTTAATGGTTACCAATCAGTGAGAATCAACCTTCCTTTAGGAAAATTACTAAAAAATACAAATATAAAACAAGATTAAAATCAATTATTTAAATCAAGGTTTCCTGCCTGCTCATTTAAATTACAATTAAAATTGGGGATTTAAATCACTGATTTAACTCAACCCACCAAGTGGACTACAAGGCTGCAAATTAAACAAGCAATACTAAACCTCAGCTGTTGAATTTTCCATGTTTCAAAATATGTTGACTACATAAAGTAGAAAAATATTTTTTTTTAAAAAAAGCTATAAAATTTAAAAACTGTGAAAAAGCAATTTACATAGATTTTGGAAGAAACAAAGTCTGCTGAAATTTTTGTTTTTAATATCGAAATTTTGGTATGGTTACCTCATTTCCACTAGCTACAACAAACTCTGAAATAGTGCCTTGCTTCCAGGGAGGAATTGCTGCCCATACCTAAAACGAAAGGGAAAAACACATTTCAACATTTATTATTTTCTTAAAATTGTATCTATATCATAGAAAAGTCATTTTCCAACCTCCAGAACAACTTCAGTGCAGCATAAGTAGGCACGTGGGCACCAACGATACTGCCAAGAATGACCTTGAGCAGATCACTGCGGACTACGTGTCTCTGGGAAGAAGGATAAAGGAGTTTGAGGCGCAAGCGGTGTTCTCGTCCATCCTCCCCGTGGAAGGAAAAGGCCTGGGTAGAGACCGTCGAATCGTGGAAGTCAACAAATGGCTATGCAGGTGGTGTCGGAGAGAAGGCTCTGGATTCTTTGACCATAGGACGGTGTTCCAAGAAGGAGGAGTGCTAGGCAGAGACGGGCTCCACCTAACGAAGAGAGGGAAGAGCATCTTCGCAAGCAGGCTGGCTAACCTAGTGAGGAGGGCTTTAAACTAGGTTCACCAGGGGAAGGAGACCAAAGCCCTGAGGTAAGTGGGGACGTGGGATACCAGGAGGAAGCACGAGCAGGAGAGCGCAAAAGGGGAGGGCTCCTGCCTCATACTAAGAAAGCAGGACAAACAGCAAGTTATCTCAAGTGCCTATACACAAATGCAAGAAGACTGGGAAACAAGTAGGGAGAACTGGAAGTCTTGGCACAGTCAAGGAATTATGATGTGATTGGAATAACAGAGACCTGGTGGGATAACTCACATGACTGGAGTACTGTCATGGATGGATATAAACTGTTCCAGGAGGACAGGCATGACAGAAAAGGTGGGGGAGTTGCATTGTATGTAAGAGAGCAGTATCACTGCTCAGAGCTCCGGTATGAAACTGCAGAAAAACATGAGTGTCTCTGGATTAAGTTTAGAAGCGTGAGCAACAAGGGTGATGTCGTGGTGGGATTCTGCTATAGACCATCGGATCAGGGGGATGAGGTGGATGAGGCTTTCTTCCGGGAACTAATGGAAATTACTAGATCGCAGGCCCTGGTTCTTATGGGAGACTTCACTCACCCTGATATCTGCTGGGAGAGAAATACAGCGGTGCATAGACAATCCAGGAAGTTTTTGGAAAGTGTAGGGGACAATTTCCTGGTGCAAGTGCTGGAGGAACCAATTAGGGGCAGAGCTCCTCTTGATCTACTGCTCACAAACCGGGAAGAATTAGTAGGGGAAGCAAAAGTGGATGGGAACCTGGGAGGCTGTGACCATGAGATGGTCGAGTTCAGGATCCTGACACAGGGAAGAAAGGAGAGCAGCAGAATACGGACACTGGACTTCAGAAAAGCGGACTTTGACAACCTCAGGGAACTGATGGGCAGGATCCCTTGGGAGAATAACATGAGGGGGAAAGGAGTCCAGGAGAGCTGGCTGTATTTTAAAGAATCCTTATTGGGTTACAGGGACAAACCATTCCGAAGTGTAGAAAGAATAGTGAGTATGGCAGGTGACCAGCTTGGCTTAACAGTGAAATCCTTACTGATCTTAGACACAGAAAAGAAGCTTACAAAAAGTGGAAGATTGGACAAATGACCAGGGAAGAGTATAAAAATATTGCTCGGGCATGCAGGAGTGAAATCAGGAAGACCAAATCACACCTGGAGTTGCAGCTAGCAAGAGATGTTAAGAGTAACAAGAAGGGTTTCTTCAGGTATGTTAGCAACAAGAAGAAAGTCAAGGAAAGTGTGGGCCCCTTACTGAATGAGGGAGGCAACCTAGTGACAGAGGATGTGGAAAAAGCTAATGTACTCAATTCTTTTTTTGCCTCTGTCTTCACGAACACGGTGAGCTCCCAGACTGCTGCACTAGGCAGCACAGCATGGGGAGGAGGTGACCAGCCCACTGTGAAGAAAGAAGTGGTTCAGGACTATTTAGAAAAGCTGGGACGATCACAAGTCCATGGGGCCGGATGCGCTGCATCCGAGAGTGCTAAAGGAGTAGGCGGATGTGATTGCAGAGCCATTGGCCATTATCTTTGAAAACTCATGGCGATCGGGGGAGGTCCCGGACGACTGGAAAAAGGCTAATGTAGTGCCCATCTTTTAAAAAGGGAAGGAGGAGGATCCTGGAAACTACAGGCCAGTCAGCCTCACCTCAGTCCCTGGAAAAATCATGGAGCAGGTCCTCAAAGAATCAATTCTGAAGCACTTAGAGGAGAGAAAAGTGATCAGGAACAGTCAGCATGGATTCACCAAGGGCAAGTCATGCCTGACTAATCTAATTGCCTTCTGTGATGAGATAACTGGCTCTGTGGTTGAGGGGAAAGCAGTGGACGTGTTGTTCCTTGACTTTAGCAAAGCTTTTTGCTAAAGTCTCCCACAGTATTCTTGCCAGCAAGTTAAAGAAGTATGGGCTGGATGAATGGACGATAAGGTGGATAGAAAGCTGGCTAGATTGTCGGGCTCAACGGGTAGTGATCAATGGCTCCATGTCTAGTTGGCAGCCGGTATCAAGTGGAGTGCCCCAAGGGTCAGTCCTTGGGCTGGTTTTGTTCAATATCTTCATTAATGATCTGGAGGATGGTGTGGATTGCACCCTCAGCAAGTTTGCAGATGACACTAAACTGGGAGAAGAGGTAGATACGCTGGAGGGTAGGGATAGGCTACAGAGGGCCCTTGACAAATTAGAGGATTGGGCCAAAGGAAATCTGATGAAGTTCAACAAGGACAAGTGAAGAGTCCTGCACTTAGGACGGAAGAATCCCATACACCGCTACAGACTAGGGACCAAATAGCTAGGCAGCAGTTCTGCAGAAAAGGACCTAGGGGTTACAGTGGGACGAGAAGCTGGATATGAGTCAACAGTGTGCCCTTGTTGCCAAGAAGGCCAATGGCATTTTGGGATGTATAAGTAGGGGCATTGCTAGCAGATCGAGGGACGTTATCGTTACCCTCTATTCGACATTGTACTCCAGATGAGGCCTCACCAATGTCCAGTTTTGGGCCCCACACTACAAGAAGGATGTGGATAAATTGGAAAGAGTCCAGCGAAGGGCAACCAAAATGATTAGGGGTCTGGAACACATAACTTATGAGGAGAGGCTGAGGGAACTGGGATTGTTTAGTCTGCAGAAGAGAAGAATGAGGGGGGATTTGATAGCTGCTTTCAACTACCTGAAAGGGGGTTCCAAAGAGGATCGATCTAGACTGTTCTCAGTGGTAGCAGATGACAGAACGCGGAGGAATGGTCCAAGTTGCAGTGGGGGAGATTTAGGTTGGATATCAGGAAAAACTTTTTCACTAGGAGGGTGCTGAAACACTGGAATGGGTTACCTAGGGAGGTGGTGGAATCTCCTTCCTTAGAAGTTTTTAAGGTCAGGCTTGACAAAGCCCTGGCTTGGATGATTTAGTTGAGGATTGGTCCTGCTTTGAGCAGGGGGTTGGACTAGATGACCTCCTGAGGTCCCTTCGAACCCTGATATTCTATGATTCTATGATTAATTATACGGAATATCAGTTTCACTATATCTAAGTTCACTATAAAAAGGTTTCATTTGCTCTCTTAAAACAAACTATAGAAGAATGATTAATAGAAGCATGGATGGGCCATATAACTAAGACGTACTGTACTGTGTATAATATAAACTTTTGGAGAAAGCAGATTACATTAAACAGTTCATATCTTACAGGAAGGCCATGAGCTGGTACAATACCTGAAAGAAAAAAACATTCCTCCAGTAGAACTGAAAAAAGTTAAAAGCAAGTCTTACAAGGATTTATATGAGGCTCAGAAATTTGCTGGCTCCTAAACTATGTCAGAGTTTTTGGTATTATAAGATAATAAAGGTTTACCCAAGAGAAATTTCCTGTGAAAATGCTAGATTCAATCAAGATGAAGCAGCTTTGGGTGTTTCATTTTTTAATATAAGAAACCCCCACCTCAGGATTTTAACATATGCTAATTCAATGGACTCTAAATATAAAGGAATGGGGTAACTAGCCCATATGAATATTTTGCAGGAAAAAAACAAATAGAAGTTCAAAAAAAAGTTACTGCAACCTAGTTTTCATGTAGGCTGCACGGAGGCAAGAAAAAAAAGGTATTTGCAAAGAAAAAGAAAAAAATTGACTTCATATTACATTTTCAACATACATAAAGTTAGAAAAATGAGAGAAGTTACATCACCTCATCTCCAGGTTTGAAATAGGACACATTTAGCCCACATTCCATAATTACACCAGATACATCTCGACCAAGTGTTAGAGGAAATTCACTCCCGGTGCTTTTCAATTTCAGTGGATCACGTTTCACATTTAAAGCGGCTGCTCCATAACCATCTATAAAACATGGTTTAACAAAGTAGGAAATATCAATGATTATTTTTATAGAACTGCACAAATCAGACAAGTAAGGTGTATAACCTGTGCATAATGTAATTTTACACCCCTAAAATTTGATTTTTACAGTTCTGAAAATGTTCTCAACTCTAAAGAACTAGAAGCAAGCAGAACAGTATTATTTTATGTTTTTAAAAAGTTTATACAACTAAGTATCAACTTTTAAGTCTTGCAATATTTCTTCTTTTGTCCCGTTTGGTGCACAATACATATAAAATATTAAGTATCACAAAACCAGTTAGCTACTTATAACACGATATTAGACATCACACTGACAGACATTTGTTATTTCATAATAAGAACAATCAATCATTTCATGTGTGACAACAACACACAGCACTTTATTCTATTCTCTTGAGAACTTCAACTGATAACACATTTCATCTTACAATAATACTTTATAGCTAATGATGCAAAAGAATTGCAAAATGTGTCTCATTTCCCCAAGGAGGGAAGTATTACATCGGTATTCATCTAAACATGATCTTGGAAATCACTAATGGCCTTATGCTGATACGTACTGAGCAACTCTAACTCCTATTAAATAAATGTGAATGCTCTGCACCACCCATGGTCACGGTCCAACAACAGTCATATCCTGTCTGGACTAACCATTTTCTATTCATTAGACAGTTGTTCAGATGTACAAGGCCTACCAAATATATAATAGTCTGCAGAGATATCCTATTATTTTTAAAATTATCAGTCATAGAAAAATGAGCAATCACGATCTTAATTATGCACTATTATAATAAAGAAGCTTAAAGGAACACTCAAACACAAAATATTTTCTGAGGATGAAAATATGGTGCTTTGCAAGCCATATGTACCAAAGAGCTCCTTAAAATCTTTGACTATCTCAAGGATGTCTAATTTATTTTTCATAGGTAGATGAGCATTGACAGGGCCAATTCTGCAATCATTAACCACACAAATGATCCCACTGGCTTCAGTAGGGCCCCTCAGATGAGTATGGGTTGCATGATTGGACAAACAATCCTATAACAAACAACCTGCCTTGTTTTGAGTAGTTTTGGCCCCAGAATACAAACAGAATACAAGTCCCACAAGGAGCTTCATGCAGGCAGATCCCTGATCCATCCAGATCTCTGTGTAGGCTCAGGAGTCTGCTAAGATGGAGCTCATTGCAGGATCAGGGCTTTTGAAGAGCGTTAAATTGCAAGTAATTGCTGTATCACTGACATTTTAAGCTCGATTGTTTAAAAAAATAGAAAGTTCCTTCAATTTTCCTCAAAGACCAATATCAAAATTTGAAATGCAAAGCCGCATCTTGCTGTGAATAAACAGTGAAATGTATGATTTTCTGTTATTTTAAGTTTTTGTTAAGATTTCTGAGCCTGCTACTGAGAACAATTGTTGGACTAGAAAAATGTCAAATGTCAATGATCAATCAGTTAAATGTACTGATTGGCCAAAGCCTTGAATTCAGCGGACCTGAAGAAGAGCTCTGTGTAAGGTCAAAAGCTTGTCTCTCTCACGAATAGAAGTTGGTCCAATAAAAGTAGGCACTGAGGCACCTATGCAACAGGAAGTTAGGACAAAGATGAGAAATAAACATTTTTGGGAATTAATTGTATGAGCCAACTGTCATGGGAGCTGAGGAAGCTAAGTGTTTTGCAGGCCTGGACCCTTGCACAATAGAAACCAAACTAACAGAAGAAGAAAAACACTTTAAAATTGAGTTGCAAGTTGATTCTCATTCTGATCATGAGTTTTAAGTCTGTGAAGAGCAGCAACCAGCTGCTTGTATTACTTGGGCTAAAACCCAGCTTAGTTTTGCTTTGGTAGATGCAGAACAATAGTCTAAAAATTCATCACTCCCCCTAACAATTTAACAGAAAAAAAGTTCTGCAAGAGGATCTTCCCACAATAATCATGGAATATTTTCCCAGACAGCCCTGTTTAAAAACTATTGGAGCCACAGGCATATTTTGGACTATGATTTACACCAACAATTTAATAAAAATAATACAGGTATAATAAAATTATATTTACAGTATGAACATGTTATGTTAAGAACTTAATCAACACTAAAATACACAAAAATATAATAATTCCTACTCAAAAAAAATCACTTACTTCTCATATTAACATCTATAGGGTTTAAACTTGCAGCATGGACTTTAATAATAACTTCATTTGGAAAATGTATTATAGGGAACATCATGTTATTTGTAAATCGTAGCACATCATTTCGCCCATATCTATCTATTATCCACGATGCCATAACTGTACATCTCTGACAAGAGAGGCTGATATTTCTATATAGACGGGGCTTGATTAAACTTTTGCTGCTTCTAAGGCAAGTTGCCATGGAACCTTGACTGAAAAGCAAGCCACTGTATGCTCTCCTACTAAACAGATGCATCTTTAAATACATTATTGACAACGCATAAGGTGGGATTGTTAATGACTCTAGCTACTATACTTGATGTGTAAAAATAATTACATGCTGGCTACACTGATGCTTCCCATCTCCACAGAGATAATTTTTAAGCCAATCAAATCCATGTATGTTTGCCAACTTCAATTTTTTTAAAAAAAATCTTTTACTATTTCTCTAATTCTTCTTTTACAACCATACGGGATAGGGGGAGGCCTGTCTAGATTCAATTTTTAACTACAAAGCTCACAGGTTTTGAGGTGTGAACGAGGCGGCCTCAACAAACTGGCTTTTCCCCACGAGCATCACAGCCCCCAGAGGCTCCCTAGTTTGAAAGGTCGGGGAAGAAGAGAGGGGCTCCCCCAAACCCGTTACAAATCACCAAATCTCAGTGCCCCAAGGACCCCTCCCCAGGCAGCTCAGCCTCCACCCACAAGACCCCGGCCCCCAGAAGTGAGGCAGCCCCCGCCTCGCTCTCCCGCTTCCTTGCCCTTGCCCTTGCCCCAGGTGCCAGCGCGTTCCCCCCTCTCCTCTCAGCGCGTCCCTGCCTGGCCTGAATCTCCTCCGCGCAGCGCGCACAGGCTGAGGGTCACCGCCGGGCCGCGCCCACTCCGCTCACCTCAGCCAATAGCGAGCCGACATCATGCCCGCCGGCGAAGACTCGAGCCAATGGAGCTGCTGCATGTTGAGGGGTGCATACCAAGATGGCAGCGCCCAGGCCCGGCCGGCCGAGCAGGGGCCTGACGCCCTAGCGGTGGCCGTGCGGGGTCCCCGGCCGGGGGGAGTGGCGGCGCGGAGAGGATGTTGCGCGTCTCCCTCAGAGAAGTGAGTGGGCTTCGGGCGCGTGGCGCCGACACTCCCCCCCCCGTGCGGCTCGGGGGCTCCCACCTATGGGGACGGGACGGGGCGGGGCGGAAGCGGAACCCCGAGCTTTGCCTACAGCAACTGCCCGGAGCCCGGCCCGCGCCCATCGCCGTGGTATCGGGGTACCCGGCGTGCACGGTGTAACTTTCCCCGCAGCGCCCGACCCGGCTGTGCCCACGCGAGGCGCCCGCCCTTCTCCCCCACCCTCTCGCTGGCGGCGGCGGCGCCGCAAAGGCCAAGAGGGCGGCGGAGCGTGTTAACCCCGCAAGGGCAAGAAGTGGCGCAGCCGGCAGCGAGGAGGAGACGCGCTGTGGCACTGGCGCAGCCCCGTGCACACCCAGTCGCGCATCGGACGCTGCGGCCCAGCTGGGGCGAGGGAGGGAGGCGTTGGCAGGACACAGAGCAAGCAGCGCTCTTAATAGAAGCCGTCTCCTCTCCAAGGGGTGTCTAGGCTGCGGCGCATTGCCCATGAGCTAGTGACCAGACAGCAAGTGTGAAAAATCGGGACAGGTGGAGGATGGGTTATAGGGTCCCATATAAGACAGAGCTCCTAATATCCGGACGTCTGGCCAGCTTAGCTGAATACAGCCTGGTTAAAATCTTGTTTTCATTTTCTTTGGATGATTGTGTGTGTTTTAACTTATGAAGAGGGAGATAGTGGTGCTATTTGGAACAAGGCTTTGGCTGGTGAGTTTCCTCACCAGCCAAAAGCAAGTTAACAAAGGCTCTATGCAGAGTAGGGATTTGTAGCTGTGTTTAAAACCATCTTTAATCATAATTATGCTGCAAAACTTGTATTTGCATCCACAATAACCAGTTACAAATGATGGGCCTGATCCTGTAAACACTTGTGCACATGATGGATGTGATCGAGACTCCTCACATGCATAAAAGTTTGAAGGACTGGGTTTCATGTTACCAGTGTATTTAGAAATTGCTCAGGACATGACCAGAATAGCAGTGGCATTGCTGGTTGAGGCTGAAATGTTTTGAAAGAGTTGTGAAAGTTAGCAGAGTGCATTCTTAACTAATGCTTTTATTCCATCATAAAAGTACTACATGTATCAAATTTATCCCCAAAATTAAGGGTTGTCAAGGTTCCTCCCCCACTCTGAACGCTAGGGTACAGATGTGGGGACCTGCATGAAAAACCTCCTAAGCTTATCTTTACCAGCTTAGGTCAAAACTTCCCCAAGGTACAAAATATTTCACCCGTTGTCCTTGGACTGGCCGCTACCACCACCAAACTAATACTGGTTACTGGGGAAGAGCTGTTTGGACGCGTCCTTCCCCCCAAAATACTTCCCAAAACCTTGCACCCCACTTCCTGGACAAGGTTTGGTAAAAAGCCTCACCAATTTGCCTAGGTGACTACAGACCCAGACCCTTGGATCTTAAGAACAATGAATAATCCTCCCAACACTTGCACCCCCCCTTTCCTGGGAAATGTTGGATAAAAAGCCTCACCAATTTGCATAGGTGACCGCAGACCCAAACCCTTGGATCTGAGAACAAGGAAAAAGCATTCAGTTTCTTACAAGAAGACTTTTAATAAAAATAGAAGTAAATAGAAATGAAGAAATCCCCCCTGTAAAATCAGGATGGTAGATATCTTACAGGGTAATTAGATTCAAAAACATAGAGAACCCCTCTAGGCAAAACCTTAAGTTACAAAAAACATACACAGACAGAAATAGTTATTCTATTCAGCACAATTCTTTTCTCAGCCATTTAAAGAAATCATCATCTAACACATACCTAGCTAGATTACTTACTAAAAGTTCTAAGACTCCATTCCTGGTCTATCCCCAAATAAGAAGACTACAGACAGACAGAGACCCTTTGTTTCTCTCCCTCCTCCTAGCTTTTGAAAGTATCTTGTCTCCTCATTGGTCGTTTTGGTCAGGTGCCAGCGAGGTTACCTTTAGCTTCTTAACCCTTTACAGGTGAGAGGAGCTTTCCCCTGGCCAGGAGGGATTTCAAAGGGGTTTACCCTTCCCTTTATATTTATGACAAGGGTGGAGGGAGGGAATTAGTTTTAGAAACTTGACTGAAATAATTCTTGCAAGTCATACCAATATTTCTAACTAGGGTCTTGCAATTTAAAAATGGAAACTGTCCTTTCAGATCTCTGCAGCACTGAAAGAAGGCCAAGTGACTCCAACAGAGCTTTGTCAAAGATGTCTCTCCTTTATCAAAGCCACAAAATTTCTTAATGCTTACATTACTATAGCAGAAGAGACAGCATTAAAACAGGCTGAAGAATCAGAGGAGCGATATAGGAGAGGTAAGTTACCCTAGATTTGTATTTAATTGCTGTTCTTCCATAAATTTTTTTGACTGTAGTGGATGGAACCTTTTGTTAGACTCAGTAACTTTAAAAAAAGAAAGTGAGGTCTACTGTTCATTTGATTTGCTTGTAGTGAACAACAATGGGGCCTATTGAGACTAAGGGCTCTGTGGACATATACTGATTGCACTTGAGGTCATCACCATTTACAAAAGATGAACAGGGGCAGGGGGATGAACAGGGGCAGGAGGAGAAGAATTTCAACCTGGTAGATCTGCTCTTCTGTCTAACTAACAGTTCCTACCATCCCATTGCTTCAGCAAAATGCCATTTAAGATACTTCAGCTTCAAGGCATTTATCCCCTTTGAGATTCTTCTCTGGATAATTAATAGTCAGCTGTGAAAGACTCTTTGTCCAACTACTAATTCCGAGCACAATTGCTGTGCATCAGAAGGCAGAATCTAGGACTCCTGGCTTGGAAATGGAGTAGATTTAAGTAGCTGTCTAAGGATGAAATAAGAATTGTATGGCCGCAGCTGAGGTGGTAAGCATCTTTTGGAATAATTTACCTAGTTTGGAAGCCACTTTCTGAGTTGCAGAGAATATGCAGTATGGAACTAAATCTGGCCTGAGCAAAGTCCTTAATGTTAGAGTTGAAAACAAAAGACCTTGTGTGAAAATATAACTTAAAAGCATTTGAGTACAACTCCTACTTCCACGTGAAAGTGAAGCTGAAGAGTAAAATAAAATGTCATTGCTGAGCAACATAGACAGTGTGTTTTACTACTTAGATTTTACTCTGTTGTCCTTGTACCAATTCGTAACGCAGGTCAGATACTGGGGGATTTAGATGGAATTCCTGTTGCAGTAAAAGACAACTTCAACACAGCTGGTATTGAAACAACATGTGCATCAAACATGCTGAAAGGTAAAGTAATGCGTTGTAGGCAAAGCAAACACCATTTTGAAGCTCTAGTCCTTTTCTCTAAAGCAGCGCAACCTACTTAAAACCTAGTCATTTTCAAAAAATGAATTCAAGTACTTTCAGGCACTAAACTTCCCTTATCTCCATCTGCCAAACTTTTGTGGCTTTTGCAGTCATATATTTAAAAACTATTAATATTGTAACAATGTAAATAAATGAAACAATGCAATATTAACTATAATCAATACATTAAAATGTAACTATTCTATCAACAGGTTACATTTTACTCTGTTACTGGAGAGTAGTCAGTGGGTTTTTTTTTTTCAAAAAAAGAAAAGGAGTACTTGTGGCACCTTAGAGACTAACCAATTTATTTGAGCATAAGCTTTCGTGAGCTACAGCTCACTTCATTGGATGCATACTGTTTTTTTTGTTTCTGTTTGTTAAATTGTCTTTCTACATACAAAAATGCAAACACAATTTTTGTTGTGTTCTTAGAGACTTGGTCCTAGTTCTTGAGCTCAACAGTTGTCTTTCATATTGATGTGAGTCATCAGTTCATAATTCTTTTATAATTTTTTGTTTTATAAAAAGCTGCTCTTTTTTTTTGCATACCCATAGCTCATTGTTTCACTTAGCAGTCCCATTAAGATGTTCATAGCATTGTAATATGTTTTATTAATAAAAGCACTATTATTTTCCTATTTGGAAAAAAATTCTTTCTCATGTAGCTGTGTAATAGACCACCACAAACAGGGAACATTAACTAATGAGGGTAAAGAGCGAAACTGATGATACAAAAAAGTGCTGACAAATACACAAGGTAAACAAACTGAAAAAATTGGGGGGGGGAAATCCTACTAATTTATTTTGATTTGTGTTATTGTGTTGTAACAATGAAAGGGGAAAAATTGACTATATCCATTGAACAGCAAGGGTCAAATTATCTAAAATTACCATTTCCTCTGCATGCCACCAAAGCAGTTGTGATTGATAGGGATAGTGTGGGTGAGAGTCTTGAGGGTGAAACTCTGATATAGGCTCTAACACAATGGTGGGCAACCTGTGGGCCTCATGCGGCCCGTCAGGGCAAGCTGCTGGCAGGCTGCCAGACCATTTGTTTACATTTGCGTGGCCATGGTTCGCCATTCCCGGCCACTGGGAGCTGCAGGCGGCTGTGCAAATGTAAACAAACGGTCTGGTGGCCTGCCAGCGGATTACCCTGACAGGCCGCAGGTTGCCCACCACTGCTCTAACATACTTCTCAGAAAAAGATAGCTGCATCAGTATTGGTCAGAGAAACTGTTAGAACTCTGGCTGCAATCACCCTGTTTATGTGCTCTTGTAACTGGCCTGGTTCTCCTCTCCATGTGAACAAGGTCTGAATTAACTGTACGATTCCTTCAGTCTCAGGAGAAGAAGACTCTAGGAAATAATAAAAGTGCTAGTTAATACTTATTCCTTGTTTGTTATCAATGAATTTTGATTATCACTGCTACTGTCACAAAGAAACTTGGTAGCACAGCACAATGACAGTTGCCATGCAGAGATGATTACTTTGAAACATTTGGAGGAGTAGTTATTGAAAGTCCTCCAGATGGTATCAGACAATTTTTTAACCAATCTGATTTTTTTTTAAGGTTATATTCCACCTTACAATGCTACGGTAGTTCAGAAGTTATTGGATCAGGGGGCTGTGCTTCTAGGAAAAACAAACCTAGATGAATTTGCAATGGGGTAAGTTATATTAAATATTTAATATCATTGCATAGTAATATAACTACAGTGTCTACTATGATTCATCACTAATCCTAAACTGCTGCGTTTATGCATGTTTGTTATATGGTGGTAAATATTTACTCCCCAGGGGTGACTAATGGAATATGATGACTGTCTGTGAACTTCTCACTGAATATTTATCCTATTAGGAAAAAGAAAAGGAGTACTTGTGGCACCTTAGAGACTAACCAATTTATTTGAGCATAAGCTTTCGTGAGCTACAGCTCACTTCATCGGATGCGTACTGTGGAAAATACAGTATGCATCCGATGAAGTGAGCTGTAGCTCACGAAAACTTATGCTGCATCCGATGAAGTGAGCTGTACTCATTTTCTTTTTGCGAATACAGACGAACATGGCTGTTACTCTGAAACCTATCCTATTAGGGTGTGTGTTCATTGTGGTATGATTTCAAGAAAAGAGGGCCAGACACTGTAGCAGCTGTGCATGGTAGGATGGGTTTGAGGGCATTAATTGAGTAGTATTTTCTTTCAAGGTGGCTTCTTTTTTTCTTAGTAACTGAATTAAGCATGAGAATTATCACATTGCCTCTGCACACAGTGTGCCTTGTCTTGGAAACCTTCTTTTGGTCCAAGAAGAGCTATGCTTTCTACAGAACAGTCTACACTGCCATCATGGTGTGGCACTTTCTTCTGACATACTACTTCAAGAGGTCATCTTGTGTGGTTTTCTCATACCCAATTTTGGTAGTTTACTGTATCTCAGGCTTGAAGACCTTTGTTTCAAAGCAGACTTATAACTTGGTTTGCCTGATGCTTACATGGTGTGAGTCCCCTGACTTCAGTGGAGTTATACTTAATTTACACTAGGGAGAATTTAGCCCTCAGTCTGCTCTGCAGAAGGAAGGAGTGAAGTTATAACTATAGGTTTTTATGATTTCCTGCAACTCTTTTAAAACAGTATTGGGGTCAGCTTCACAAGTAAATCTATATCAGCCTTTCCATGTCACAATCCGATTTGCCTGAAGGGCCAGGAGTAAAAGGTGGAATTGGAAGAAAAACATTGTATTAATAATGTGAAGTCTATAACAGGATAAATACAGACAACTATATTTCAATCTGAATTTCTCACACCAGATCTGGAAGCACAGATGGAATATTTGGACCAGTTAGAAACCCCTGGAGTTATTCAAGGCAGTACAGAGACAAATGTGTGCAGAACTCCCATCCTGAGAAGGAAGACTCCAATTGGTTGATAACAGGAGGAAGCTCAGGAGGTAGCGCTGCTGCAGTGTCTTCTTTCACATGCTTTGCGTAAGAGCCTTTTTAGAACCGTTAATTAAATGCTTCATAATGACTTGTGCACTTTTCCTCAAAATTTAATTTGATTTTTTGAATCTTTCAGTAACCTAGTTTATAGTGTAGTGCCTGGGGAAGGGAAGGTAATGTTTTTGTTTGAAACTGTAGGATTATTTGCATTGGTGTTGAAGAATTAGTTGTACCATGAAGAACACAGAGATACTGAAATGCATAACACAAATTAAAAGTGATTACATATAGGTACGTTTAAATCATTTCATTCCGAGCCCAGACATTCACTCCTCAGAGGCTCAATCAAAATTGCAACCAGCTTTACTAAAAATGTTGAGTGTAGCACAGGGATAGGCAAACTTTTTGGCCCGAGGGCCACATCTGGGTGGGGAAATTGTGTGTTGGAGGGGATGTGGTGTACAGGAAGGGGCTCAGGGCAAGGGGTTGGGGTGCAGGAATGGGCTCAGGGCAAGGGGTTGGGGTGCAGGATGCAGGAAGGGTTCAAAGTGTGGGCTCCAGCCTGGTGCCGCTTATCTCGAGCAGCTCCAGGGTGGCAGCAGTGCACAGCGGGGCTAAGGCAGGCTCCCTGCCTGCCCTGGCCTCACACCGCTCCCAGAAGTCACCAGCACGTCCGGCAGTGGCTCCTGGTGGTGGAGTGGGGCAGGCAGCTCCGCCACACCCTGTCCTCACCTGTGGGTACCACCCCCGAAGCTTCCATTGGCCGTGGTTCCCCATTCCCAGCCAATGGGAGCTGCAGGGGCTGGTGCCTGCAGGCAAGGGCAGCGCACGGAACCCTCTGCCCGCCCTCTTTCCCCCCAGGGGCTGCTGGGACGTGGTGCCGGCCGCTTCTGGGAGCAGGGCCAGGGCAGGCAGTGAGCCTGTCTTAGCCCCGCTGCGCCACGTGGCTGGCAATCCCACGGGCCGGATTGAAAACCTTGACGGGCCGGATCCAGCCCATGGCCCATAGTCTGCCTTCCCCTGGTATAGCAGGTGCAGTTTTGGTATAGAAGGGAAATCACAATGCACAGCCTCAATCTTAGAAAACACGAAAAAAGTAATATTCCTTGATGAACCAGCCTTGTTGTTAGATGTGAAGGGCGTATTTTATCAGCATGTCTTTGTAAACTGAAAACTGCTGCTGCTTCATACTAAATAGTAAAGAAAGGACTAGAATAAATGGGAGCACTTTAAATTATTCTCATATTTGTATATAAAAAAAATTCCATTTAAAAGCGTCAAAGAATCCTGTGGCACATTATAAGCTAACAGACGTATTGAAGCATAAGCTTTCGTGCATCTGACGAAGTGGGTATTCACCCACGAAAGTTTATGCTTCAATATGTCTGTTAGTGCTGTGGCAACTTATAGACTCTTTGCCGTTTTTACTGATCCAGACTAACACGGCTACCCCTCTGATAAATTTAAAACTGTACCTCTTTAAGAACAGATAAAATTTGGATGTGTTTTTGAAGTATTCAATTCTATTAATGATGGTTCTATTTAAACTGTAGGGCTTTAGGATCAGATACAGGAGGGTCCACCAGAAACCCAGCGGCTCACTGTGGAGTAGTAGGTTTAAAGCCAACCTATGGACTGATTTCTCGTCATGGTCTCATTCCACTAGTGAACTCCATGGATGTACCAGGAATTTTAACCAGATGTGTGGACGATGCAGCAATTGTATTGGGTATTTACTAGTGCATATGTCTTTGTATACAGTTTGTCTCAAAACCTTTTGAATTCAAGAATCCACTGTATTACTTTTTCTGTATGTCATGAGCTCTTTTTCATCTTTCAGGTGTGCTTGCAGGGCATGATCCTAAAGACTCTACTACTGTGCAGGACCCCTTTAAGTCATTTGAACTAACCTGTTTTACAGATGCCAGCAAGCTCTGTATAGGAATACCAAAGGTAGCATTTTCAACTTTATCACTGGAAAAAAAATTCATACCAGAGTAAAAACCTATATATCCTGCTCCCTGAGTCTGCAATGATTTGGATCTGCGGAGACAGCATGGGAGTGAAAGTGTGTGTATCTCATTGCTCGGTGTCAACCTCTTCAGGCCTTTATAGGGCATTGACTCTCTGTAGAGTTCTGTCCAGTCTTTGGAGGGAATGTTGTCTAGAAGTTTTATAAGAGGAGACTGGGAGCCTGAGTTCCTGGGCTTTATTACTGGCTCTTTCACCAGCTGCCTGTTTGACCTCAAACAAATCACTCTTTTTCTTAGTGCCTGAGGCTATGTCTACACTACAAGCTAGGGGTGTGCATCCTCAGCTTGTGTACACATATCATAGCTCGCCCGAGTATAAAGATCAGTGTAGTCATGGTAGCACATGCAGTGGAGGCATTGCAGAGTCGTGCCGCTTGAAACCAGGGGGCACATACTCGGCATAGCTCAGCTATGGCTTTTCTGCTGCTGCCGGTGCTACTGTGGCTACACTGCTGTTTATACTCGTGCTAAGCTCTCATCGAGCTACCGGGAGTACATGTACGCGAGTAGGAGAATCACATCCCTAGCTCATAGTGTAGACATAGCCTGAGTGTAAAATGGGCATAATACTCACCTCACAGGGATGTTAAGACTTAATAAATGTTTGTGGAGTGCTTTTGAGATCCTGGGTTGAAAGGCACTGTATTAATACAAAATACTGTTTAAAAAGATTTATTGTGCTGGGCAAAGAAGGGAATAGCAGGGAAAGGGTTCTAATTAGGGATCAGGTGTTCGAGGGAAAAAATTTAGGTTTTTATCTTTCTATTAATAGGCCAAAAAAAACCTTTTATGAATGTGTTTCCTTCTGTGAGATAAGGGGATAACAGTTGGATTTAAACATCCCTTCACTAATTGCAATCCAAGCGTTGTGCTAATACAGGTGAACCAGAACATTTAATCAAACAAAAATATCACTGAACAGTCTATTTTCATTGTCCAATTTGATTGAAATGCAAAAAGAGCATGTACAGTAATTTGTAAATTATATGGTAAATATTTCAATTTTAGTAATCCAAAATGGTGGTGGTAACAAGTAAGGACTTTTTTAATAAGTGATCTCCTGACAGTAGTGCCCCTTTTACAGTAGTGTGGATTTTTTTTATATAAGCAACTCTGTTAGTACTATGGTCAAGTCTGCAGGATTGGTCCCAGATTTTGACACTGAACTGACACTGTCTACAAAAGTGGATATTCAACTAAACTTAGGCTAATCAGGCTGGCTGTCCTTGTCTCCTTGGTATGGGCTTGTCTTCATGGGAAAGTTAATGGAGAATAAACTAGGATATAAATGTAAAGTGCAATAGCTATTCCACAGTAGCTCACTGCATAGACAGTCTTATTCCTCACTAATAGTGCCTTTTGCTGTTTAGGTTAATATGGTTAGGAAGCGTATGCTATTCAATAAACAGCAAAAAGGCACTTTTAATGTGGAATAAGAGTGTCTATGCAGTGAACTACTGTGGAATAGCTATTCTGGGCTATTTCCATGTAGACAAACCCTAAGAGTATACACAAAGTGAGGCTTGTCACCAACTCTCATATTATGAGACTTTTTTTTTTTTAGTGCTGAGTTTTGACCTAGGTACGACACTTGCCACTGGTGTGCTTTGGCCATTGTTTCTGCTCATTTAACATTCATAATGGGCCTGGTATCGTGGCTTAAAATTTAAGATGTGCTGTCCATGAACTGCACAGTCCCAGTTAATAGACTGACAAGTGGGCAGCTTTCTATCCAGAAATTATAAAATTGAAGCAAGAAGTGCATAGTGAAATGTTATGACCTGCATTATGCATGTGTTCAGACTAGATAATCGTGATGGTCCCTTCTGGTATTAAAAATCTCTGAAACTTATGAACTTAATATGATTTAATATCCTAACAGTCAGCAAAAACATAAGTCTAATAAATACTTAAACTAGTGCTCATCGCTGCATTTTTTTTTTTAAACAGTATTTACATCTAATAGCATATTACATAGTTTGGCTTGCTTACTGTCAACCGATAATTTTACGCGAGTTTACTTTCAATGGTTCTTAATTATTTGTGAAGATGCTTATGCATAGAATTCATTTCCTAACTTTTGTTCTCCACTAAGGAATATCATGCACCAGGATTATCTAGTGAAACTCTGGCACTTTGGTCTAAAGCTGCTGACCTCTTTGAGAATGCAGGTGCCAAGGTGATTGAAGTGAGTCTACCCCACACACGTTATTCAATTGTATGCTATCATGTGCTGTGCACATCAGAAGTAGCATCAAATATGGCCAGGTTTGATGGACTAGAATATGGTAAGTTTAAGTTTTCAAAGGAAAAAGGGCTATATTACATATAATATAAAGTAACATTCACTTTGTTGATCATTAAGTGGCATAAAGATGCCTGTCATAGGTGTGTGCACTGTGGTGATTTAACATACATGGTTACCTGCATTTCATGGTTGAATGTTAGGAGATATCCCAAGCGATCATGAAACTTGCACTGGCTTTCTGCTTGTGGCGAAAAGATGAAAATAATTTTGTTTTCAGAAACTGTGAATTATTAAAAGCATAAAGTGGTCAATATATACATTAATGTTTTGCCATCTTATTGGGTGAGATACTGTGCATTAAAATATTTAGAATTTAGAAGCACTTGAGTAAAAAATCCCATCACTGGATACATCCAAAGACAGGCCTGGCCAAAAAAAAAAAAAAAAAAAAGGCAGCCTAATTAATGTAAACAAGGGAATAGTCCTGAATTATCTGGGAAATGAACCAGATAGACTTAAAAGATCTTTTTCATGATTGTATTTTGTGGCTTGACCAAGATGGGTTGTTGTCTTAATGGTTTGCCATTTTAGCTTGTCTAATGAGTGTATCACTTGATTATGGTATGTGTGGTACTGGTGAGTGAAAAATAAAAATGCAGCTAATTTCTGAAGTCAGTCACTCTCCATGCATTAAAATAAGCCAGGACTATCAAAAGATTAGTATTATATCTAAGTTTTTACCAGATAGTAATTTGAATTAGGTGTAATAACTTCCTTAAACATCCCCATTGCACCTGGCTATTGAAGGACGCATGGTGCTTTTCTCCCCCTTTTAACTATGCTTTTCCTGTGATTTTTTTTACCCCCTCTTCTTTCTTTTTGTCACAAACCCACCATTATAATGTTGTTTATAGTATGTGACCTTTTTGGATTCTTTTTTCTATTTAACTAATGCTCACATTCTGGGGTTTTGAGATATTGTAGCTATCCCCAAAAACCCAATACATAAAAAGACCTTGATTTAGACTCAATCCTCTCTGTGTACCTGTCCCTGCCTCACAGAATTAAGTGATTGGCCAAACTCTTAAGCAAGTGCAGCTTAATTGAAATCAGCGGAATTTCACTGCTTACGCTAGTGCTGATTGTCTGAAGTTTGGGTGTTCTTTAAGTTATGGGAAGATTAGGGCCTGATCCAAAGTTTATTGAATTCATTCCACTGAATCTCATTGAATACAGAGAGCTTAGGATCCGACCCCTTGTAAATAAGTTGTTGCTTTTCATTTCGGCAAGCAAGTTTTTAGTCTGAGAGAAATGTTCTCAGCTGTGTTCTTTGAGGAGTGTACTGTGCAGCACAAAGGATGTATGCATTGTTCAGATCAGTTTTTAGTCTCTACTCAAAATAAACTGAAGGGTGAGCTATCAGTGTTACTGAAATACTTCTACACCTTCATGTCGTGAAGGATAAGAGTTCTCTCTACCTTCCATGTCAGACTGAAGATCAGAGGCAGGAGTGTTCATATTGTAGCACACTCCATTGTAGTTCTCAGTACAGATAAATAGAAATATTTCACTTCTAGAGACCCCAAATGTATAGTTGCAGTATGAGTCCAGAATTCATTTAATATTTAGCTTAAGTTTTTAGTTTTTGTGTGCAAAAATAGCATGTTAACATCTAGTGCACTTGACATAGTATGTCATTGTGAAGGTCAATAATTTATATTGTTTAATAGTTTTCATGGGCCTTCAGGATTTGTTTCCAGATCACTGGTGGTTTATTTTTAGGACACCGTTCCAGTATGGACAAGTCCACAGAAGTCATGTATGCTGCAACTCGACGGGAAGGGTTTAATGATGTTGTAAGAGGAAGAATTCTGTCCGGAAACTACTTTTTGTTAAAACAGTAAGTTCATCATATTTTAAAGCTCAAATGTACCATATTAATGACTTATTTATTAAGCAGCTATGATGAAATTACTTATGTTGAACAAATTCTTTGTTGCTAAGGCAATATCTATTTATATTGGTTTAAGTGTATAATATGTAGCAAACCATTATTAATGGCTAAAAAGAATGCTTTCCTTTACTCTTAACTGGAAGCCTTTTGAATTTAGGAAGGTAGAACAACACGTTGTGTGATTTGCATCTTGAGTAGCCTATTGGCACACTTGGATTAAGCTATGCAAAAACATAGTCTGTGATGTTTGTCAGTGAAATCAGAATAGAGCCCTAACTATTCTATATTTAAATGTTCTGTGGCCATCAGCATCAAGCTGATTTAATCTTGCTAAAGTTCTCCAGGTATAGAAACATTTATTATGTTCTACTGATGCCTCTCATGGAAAGCCAGATGATGTGGCACTTAGTTTATATATCTCTCTCACCTTCCCCACCTCTTTGCTTGAGTCTACAGAGAAAATAAAATTGTACTGGTGTGATCAAGTAAACACATTTATTTTTGTGAGGAACCTTATGTTTATGCAGTTCAGCTGAATGAACATACTTTTAATTTCCACTCAATCTGTCTTCATTTATGACTATAATTGGAGAATGCCACTTTCTCTGCCTCCACCCTGTTAAGATTCCAAACAATGAGGATTTCCACATTGCCACAAAACAACTGACACGGGGTGTCATAATTATTTTAAGAAAACTGAGTGTTGCAGACTAACAATCTCCTGCCATATCCTGACTGAACCGTATCAATTAAAATAAACTTTATTGAATTAAATTTAACATCTTTTGGAATTCATTGTATTAAAAGTGTTTATGTACTATTGTGAGATAGTGAGGAACTGCTTAAGCAGGAACACAAGATTAATACAATCTCTGGAAGGTATTAGTAACTTCACACATATAGTTCCAAAAAGACTTGAAGTGGATTTTTGAGGAAATACCTTGGGGGTCAGGGGAATGCAAATTCTTCCCTCTGAGCTTTTTGAAGGTAGCCCCCAGGAATGGGACCCATTGTATGCTAATTACCTGTATCTGGAAACTTCAAATCAAAGACCCGTGAACTGAACCTGTTATAAGTATGTTTGTTCTGAGCTGAAGAAGTCATGAACTGGGAATCCTCAAAGCTGTCATGAACTGGGAATCACAAGGACTCCCCTAGGGTCCTCTGAAGGACTTACCGTGTCAGAATCTATGTTGGGGTGGGAGTTCCTGGTAAGCTTATTAACAAGAGTGTATGTTTTCTCTATAGTGCTTTTTACCTTAAGAATACAATAGGCTTGCACAGAAAGAACTGTTTGGTACCTTATATCTGTAGCAATCCCTCTGTTATCAGTCTCTGAAGAGAAAGCAAGCAAGTCTGCTTAGGCAGATTGTCTTTGCTGGGAAATATACAGTGAAGGCAAAAAACTGTGCAGCCTGGAAATAGGGAGAGAAACATGGGTCTCCACCCAGAAAGGCGACCATTGGGGAGCTGGAATCTGAGAATGGGTACCTTTGCTGAACCACTGAGGGGAGATGCAGGTGCAATTGCCCTAAACTGTGACACTGAGCACACACAAGAATATTCCTGCTACTTTAAGCTCTTAGAGCTAATAAAAGCTGGGTGTCTTCACGACAGGGATGTCAGCATATGAGCAGCCAGCCCCTCTGAACTGTCAATATTATTGCTAAGCATCCTCAATTTAGTGTTCTCTGATGACATCTGCCTAAGCCATCTATCATAAATGTAGGGTGAATGCTTGATAACTTGTGTGGGTCAGTTTTGGTGAAGGAAAACAGGAGTGATTTCTACAAGAGCTAAGCAGGGGGGTGTCTCAGCACTTTGCAACAATCCACAGTAAATGAATCATCAAGAACAGAATTTAGGGTTAAAATAACATTATCATAATTGCAGGAGAGCCATGTTTGTTCTCTGCTATATTCAAATTACAAAATATTTTCTTTAAGATGTAAAATCCATAAAATAACTAGATTGATGCTTGAAGTTATGCATGCTTGCATATATCGTCAGTGAAGTCTAAAATGTATCTACTCGGTCTCTTCTCCTATAAATTCTTTAAAAGTAGTTAGGGTAAAAAAATGTAAACCAGGAAAACTGGTTAAAGACTCTTTAGTCTTACATGAGTCTTGAACATTTTTATTCTGCAACTAACCTTTTCCTTAGTCTGGTAGGTGGGGTTTCATAAATAACCCCAGAAAGAGCCATTTTCCATAATACAATGGATTTGCTGTCGGAGATCCATGATATCTTGATCTTTACAATCACTTTGGAAGAATAAGTACCAGGTTCTCTTGAAAAGTTAAGACACATTCAACTTTGTTTTCAGTACAACTCTTCAGCAAATCAGATCTTCAGAGTGATCAGCTGACAGTTATGTACTGGATAATTTGGATTGTTTTATCAGCAGACACTGGCATTTAGTTATTTACCCTTGACTTACAATACATTTGCTAATTACCCATAAAATGTTTACAGTACCAGTTATTTTTGACTAATAAATTCTTTTGAAACTGAACCTCTAAACTTGACATTAAATCCTTAAACTCAGGTTAATGCTGCATGTGATGTAGGAATGAAATATAAAATTGTCAGTTTTTCTGCTTCAGATATGCGGAAAAACAGATTAATTCATAGCCTCCTTCAGTCTAAACTGCTGCTTACATAAAGTAAATGACTGTGGGAATTTTAGACAAAGACCTGGTGTGCTTCTCTATAATAACAATAAGAAGGACCAGTAGCAAAGCACACACCTGAAACATATAACTTTAAGCATGTGGGTAGTCCCTGTGAAGTCAAGTGGGACTGTTCATGTGCTTAAGTGCCTTGCTAGATAGTCCCTAAATGATTGATAAATCACAACTATAAGACAACAGTCATTTTTTTCCAGACATCACTTCCATCATGCAATGAAGTTCAGTAGATAAGTAAACAATAAGGTTGCAGAAAAAGACTGGGTCATAAAATACTATCTTGATTTGAGCCTACCCTCCACTTGGCTTGTGTTTTCCTTCATTTATATTCCCTCTCCACTCTCTTCAGTGGTGTTTGCCCCAGGTCTCTCCCCAGATCTGTTTCCTGGCTCATCTTTAAGAATATGCTTTAGTGCCATTAGTTCATCTGCAACCATGCTGCTTTGATGACTGATCTTGTTCTCTGTTGAAACCCTAAGTACTTGTGGTGCAGCCCTTCAACCCAAAGGGAACACTGGGCTTGTTTTTTTTCCCCCCAGTAGCCACTTAGCAATTTAAATTCTTGATGGTCTTAAACTTAACTTCTAACACCAGTGACTATTTGTTCCTAGGAATTATGAGAATTATTTTATCAAGGCCCAAAAAGTGAGACGACTCATTGCCAAAGACTTTGTGAATGTTTTCCATAGTGGTATTGATGTTTTGCTCACTCCCACCACTCTAAGTGATACAATACCATATGTGGAGTTTATCAAAGAAGACAACAGAACCCGCAGTGCACAGGATGATATTTTTACACAGGCTGCAAACATGGCAGGTAAGTAGAGAGAGAAGTGCATCTCCTTAGCTTATTTCCCAGCCAGTCTTCAATTTAGTATCCATTCTCTCCAGCCAGCTGCCCTCTTTCTATAGGACCTCTGTATAGAAAGCAACTGTCTGAACCAAGTTGTCAGCTTGTTTCTCTGAGTAGCAAAGCTTATATTGACCATAAGATGGTAGCAGTGTGAAGTGAGTTCATTCATTAAATGTGCAAGAATTTAAGTATATAATTACTTCTGGAGGATTCTGCACCAAAACATAAATTTTGCACCAAAACATTAAAAATTTGGCACACAATTTTAAAATTCTGCATATTTTATTTGTTAAAATAACACAATATAATCATGCCCAATTATTTTGGTAATTTATTTCAAAATACCTGTCGGCAAGTATATCTGTAACAACACAGACAGAGATTCAGGAAACTTTTTTGATAAATAGATTCCTTACTAGGCATATTAATACAGAACTTTGAGTAGTAATTCATTTAAACTGCAGTACAGAAACCTATTTCCCACACCCCTCAAGCAGTGCAAAGGTTTGGGGGAATCAGAGGTAATGGAGGAGCTGAGGGAGAGGGAAGTAATTTCTGGAAAGAAGCCTGGGAGTGAACCTAGAGGATTGTTGAGTGTGGTGGGAGAAGTATGGAACAGGTGGTATTTCGGGGGGGGGGGGGGGGGGAGGAATTGTTTGGGAATTGAGTAGCCTCCCCCTACAGGGAGCCTGGCTGACCCCCCCCCCCCAGCCTCTCTTCAGTCCAACACATCTGCCCTTGTCCCCATGTGGCCCTGCACCCCCCCTTCAACCCTGGTGCAGTGCTGTCACCCTGGTAGTTCCTGTGCCACCATCTCAGTCTGTGATCCCCCAGCAGCCCCGCTGTGTCCACCCCCAACCCCCCCCATATCCCATGCCTTCTCACCTGGGTCCCACAGGCATGTTGTGAGGACCGCAACCTCTGCCCCATTCCTGTCTGACTGGCTGCTCCAGCTGGTGAGCCGGCTGCCCACTCTCTGGCACCACAAGCACCTGGTGGGTGAAAGGTGCAACTGCAGTGCCTCTCTGGCAGAATGTATTTTCTGTGGGGGTGGAGAATCTGTGGGGAACATGAATTCTGCACATGTGCAATGGTGCAGAATTCCCCCAGGAGTAATATAATCTTGGTTGTACTGCTAAAATGCAAAGAGACAAGCCTTAAAAGCTTACATGCATTTGTTTTGGTTATTTTTCCTAAGAGTCTCGTTTGTAATAATTCTAGCAATATGTGTAATAGCAAATCCTGCACATGTGATGTTTTAATAATTTTGCTTTTTCCCCCCCAGGGCTGCCAGCCATAACTGTTCCTACAGCACTTTCAGAGAAAGGTTTGCCAGTTGGGCTTCAGTTTATTGGACGTGCATTCCAGGAGCAGCAGCTTCTTACTGTAGCCAAATGGTTTGAAAAACAAGTAAAATTCCCCATGATACAATTACAGGGAATAATGGATCATGGTCACACTGTCAGTCACCATCAGAAATCAGCCTTTTTTTCATAACAGAGGACTTGGTGGTTTTCGTAGCAGAAGTAAGGAGGATTTTAGAATATTTCTCAATCACTTTGTACTGTTTCAGATTGAAAAGAAATGTAATCCTTCCATTTATCTGTGCAAATGACAGGCTGTAGAGTCTAAAAACATCTGTATTCAAGCAGAATGCAAGAGCGAAGCAGGGAAGCTTTGTTACTGTGTGATTAAACTGAAGTGAGGCCCCTGGTATGTTCCCTACAACTGCATGTATAGTTTGAATATATATTTTTTTCATGGTAGGTATAAAGTGTATGTCTTGTAATTATAGAGGTGCTTTCCCTACCCTTCATACAAAGAAACCTGCGGAATTCATTCCTTGGTGGAACAAACATGGGCTTCTTCCTTAAGCATGTATAGTTTCCAGGAGCTCTGGTCTCCTGCTGCCTCCCAGGTTACATGGCTCCAGTGAAACCAAGCCATGAAGGAGTCCTCAACCACAGGAGGCCTTAGTGAAGCTCTGCACTCAACTAGATTGGAAAGAGAGGGAAAGATGAGAGTGTAGGAATGTGTGAATGGAAATGCACAAGAGCAAGAAGGTAGCTAAACCATGTACGGTGCGGAAGAGTCATCTTTGTATGGATCCTGGAGGCTGCTGTGGTACTTAGAAAGCCTTTTCACAATAAGGGCTAATTGCAGATGTTTCCTTTGAGAAACAACCCTCTAATTTTCAGAAATTGCTCTTCCTCCTGCCCCTTCTATTTTGCTATAATCACAGCTCAGGAACCAAAATCAGAGGCAGTTTCATAAATTAATACATTCTTTTCTCCAATGCCTACAATGAGGAAATGTATCATCTGACTGTTGAACGTTTCCAACCCAGATGTTAGAATGGAAGATTTAAGAAACAGCCACTAACATCTGCAAAATTTACCCTCAGGAATATTGTTTTCCACTTTACCACCATGAGTGCTTATTTCTTTGTAACTGTTGCTCATTTTTAGATGCTCCATTTTCTTCTCACAAGCTAAGATGGTGAAAAGAAATGAGATAATTATGGTGAGGGACTAGAGGATTGGAGTTTTTTTAAGAACAGGTTTGACAAACACCTGTCAAGGATGGTTTAGAGTTACTTGGTTCTGCCTCAGGAGTTGGGGGGGCTGGACTGGATAACTTCAAGGTCCCTTCAAGCCCTACATTTCTGATTGTATGAGACCTCTCTTGTTTAGGATCCAGTTTGTCAGTTTAGACTTAGTGTTGATTGATATGGAAACATACATTAGAAGTATTTCACTTTTCAGTTACATTTATTATATACGTTTCATTTAAACTCTTGCTTTTCATCTCCCTGAATACTAGTTGTATGTCTTACACAGCAGCTACTAGGAAACAGCTACTGGTCCTACATATTTATCACTTATCGGTCAGTCTAGTCCTGGGACTCGCTGTATGTCTGAGGACCCATAGATTCCATTCCATCATCCTGGCCCCTGCAGCATGGTGTGTAGATTACACCCCTGGAATCCCACTGTGATGGGTTGGATCACAGAAACCGCCTGGGGGCTGCCAACTGATGTGCCAAAACTACTTCTGTCCCTCCTTTCTTCCCCTGGCAGCTTGGGACTTCAGTGTTCTGGCTGGTTTGAGCCAGACCTGCTAGCCTGCTGTAAACCTAGCCCCAGGTCTGAACCATGTCCCCTAACAGCTGTAGGCTTAAACTGAAAGCAGCTTAAGCAGTGTTCCTGTCTTTAACACTCAGATGCCCAACTCCCAATGGGGTCCAAACCCCAGATAGATCAGTTTTACCCTGTATAAAGGTTATACAGGGTAAACTCATAAATTGTTCACCCTCTAGAACACTGATAGAGAGGTATGCACAGCTGTTTGCCCCTCCCTTCCCCCCCCCCCGGTATTAATACATACTCTGGGTTAAATAATAAGTAAAAAGTGATTTTATTAAATACAGAAAGTACAATTTAAGTGGTTCCAAGTGGAAACAGACAGAACAAAGTGAATTACCAAGTAAAATTAAATTAAATATATGCAAGTCTAAGCCTAATACAATAATAAAACTGAATACAGATAAAATCTCACCCTCAGAGATGTTTCAATAAGTTTCTTTCACAGACTGGACACCTTCCTTGTCTGGGCACAATCCTTTCCCATAGTGCAGCCCTTGTTCTAGCTTAGCTGGTAGCTAGGGGATTTCTCATGATTGCAGCCCCCTTTGTTCTTTTCCACCCCCCTTATATGATTTTGGCACAAGGTGGGAATCTTTTGTCTCTCTAGATTTCCCCCCCCCCCGCCAATGGAAAAGCACCAGGTTAAAGATGAATTTCAGTACCAGGTGACATGGTCATATTTCCTGTGAGACCCTAAGCCTTCATTCTTCCCAGCCTGACTCACAGGAAGGCCTGCCTGCAAACAGAGCCATCCACAGTCAATTGTCCTGGCTGATGGGAGCCATCAAGATTCCAAACCACCATTAATAGCCCACACTTTGCATAATTACAATAGGCCCTCAGAGTTCTATTTCATATTTCTAGTTTCAGATACAAGAGTGCTACATTCATACAAATAGGATGAACACACTCAGTAGATTATAAGCTTTGCAGTGATACCTTACAAGAGACCTTTTGCATGAAGCATATTTTAGTTACATTATATTCACACTTCTCAGCATATTTTCATAAAATCATGTAGCATGCAACATCACATCCACATTGTTCCCTTAAACATAGGCAAAAGAGGAGGAGCTGGTGTTCCTCAGCTAGCCCAGAGTGAGCTGGGAAGGACAGGAATAGAGCCTTTAAATACAGGACTTGCTTTCTCTGGTAAGGTCAGAAGTGGAATGGTTCCAAGGACAACGAGGAAATCCATTATATAATGGATAAAAGCACTTAATTTTTTGTCAAAATAAGAGATACATTGATGCCTCTTTTCTATAGGTAACAAGGCCAGCCTTTGGGGTAGGCGGTCCAGGTGGAAGCCCAGGGCGGCCTACCAAAGAGGGTACCATGTGCAGAGTTTGCCTGATTTCCGCCTGGTGTGCCAAGAGCCAGTTGGGCTGGGGGAGGCAGCAGGCAGGCAAGCAGCAGCGTCTGGAGAGGGTGGAGGGACCCAAGTTGCAGAGAGGTAGTTGTTGGATGACCAGCAAGGTTGCTCCTCTGGAGCAGGGGTGCCCCCCCCCCATTCCACTGCCCTGTGCAGCTGCTGCTGCTCCTGTTTCACTCCCCTCCAATCCTCCCTGGAGTCACCCCTGGCCATGCTGCTCCAGACTGGGAGCGTCCTCCTGTCTGTTGTGCAGGGAGGGTGGGGGAGGCTGATGGGGTGTCCCCTTCCCCCTGCCTATGTACCTGGTCTCCCCTGAGCCCCCACTGATGGGACGGGGGAATGTGTCTGTGCTGCTGCTTCTCTGGGTCCCGAAGCTGCCAGCAACTGCTTGTGTCTGAACACACCTGCAGGCTCCTGAGTGTGAGTGCTTTCGTAAAGAGACAGTGCACTCACACTCAAGCACACACACACTCCCTTCAGCACACACACACAGTCTCTCTCTCTCTCTCACACACACACACACGTCCTCCTGAAATTAAAATGAGACGATAAACTCACAAGAAATATAATTCCCCTTTCTTATTGCCTGAAATTTTAATGCTTGCAATTTCCTGCCCCCCAAAAAGTACTACACAGCATGCAATCAAGTTAACTAACTAAAGCACTTGAATTACCAATCTTTGCAAAAGTAGCTGATTAAGTGCCTGATTGATTAAAAAGGAGTACCACTGTAAGTCAAAATGTTATCAACATAATCTAGCACCAATATGTGTAAATGAAACAATTTTACATTAAATACATGGCATGATGATAACGAGAAGGGAAAGCGATTTGCACATACCTAGCCCTATGAGTGTAGTTTGGAGGGTTGGGGGAGCATTGCTCCACTAACTGAAAGCCTTAGGCAGGTGCAGAATTTATCCCCCACCCCACACGCAGTCCCGTTGGCCTGACGGGAGCTGCCTCCTCAACTATAGAAGCCAAACTATGCCTATGCCCCCACACCTGACCTCCCCCAACTGTTCTGCCCTCTAGCCCCCCAATCTGCCCAACCCACTCCTCAGCTGTGCTCCCCACACCCCAGCCTCACCTCTGCTCCTATTGAACATAAGAACGGCCATACTGGGTCAGACCAAAGGTCCATCCAGCCCAGTATCCTGTCTACTGACAGTGGCCAGTGCCAAGTGCCCCAGAGGGAGTGAACCTAACAGGTAATTATCAAGTGATCTCTCTCCTGCCATCCATCTCCACCCTCTGACAAACAGGCTAGGGACACCATTCCTTACCCGTCCTGGCGAATAGCCATTAATGGACTTAACGTCCAGGAATGTATTCAGTTCACTTTTAAACCTTGTTATAGTCCTAGCCTTCACAACCTCATCAGGCAAGGAGTTCCACAGGTTGACTGCTGTATGAAGAAGAACTTCCTTTTATTTGTTTTAAACCTGCCGCCCATTAATTTCATTTGGTGGCCCCTAGTTCTTATATTGTAGGAACAAGTAAATAACTTTTCCTTATTCACCTTCTCCACACCACTCATGATTTTATATACCTCTATCATATCGCCCCTTAGTCTCCTCTTTTCCAAACTGAAAAGTTCTAGCCTCTTTAATCTCTCCTCATATGGGACCCGTTCCAAACCCCTAATCGTTTTAGTTGCCCTTCTCTGAACCTTTTCTAATGCCAGTATATCTTTTTTGAGATGAGGAGACTACATCTGTACGCAGTATTCAAGATGTGGGCGTACCATGGATTTATGTAAGGGCAATAAGATATTTTCTGTCTTATTCTCTGTCCCTTTTTTAATTATTCCTAACATCCTGTTTGCTTTTTTGACTGCCACTGCTAACTGCGTGGACATCTTCAGAGAACTAGCCACAGTGACTCCAATATCTCTTTCCTGATTAGTTGTAGCTAAATAGCCCCCATCATATTGTATGTATAGTTGGGGTTATTTTTTCTAATATGCATTACTTTACATTTATCCACATTAAATTTCATTTGCCATTTTGTTGCCCAATCACTTAGTTTTGTGAGATCCTTTTGAAGTTCTTCACAGTCTGCTTTGGTCTTCACTATCTTGAGCAGTTTCGTATCATCTGCAAACTTTGCCACCTCACTGTTTACCCCTTTCTCAAGATCATTTATGAATAAGTTGAATAGGATTGGTCCTAGGACTGACCCTTGGGGAAAACCACTAGTACCCCTCTCCATTCTGAAAATGTACCATTTATTCCTACCCTTTGTT